TGGTTTCTGCAATGAGTTTTTTTGGGATTGTACTTTGATTTATATTACTGTTCGATGTTTTGATTTTGAGACATGTTCATGATGGTTTATGGATTGATATGATATTGACAATGTTTTCAGTAAACGATTTTATAAATTACTTAATTACAAAAGAAATTTTTGGACTCGAAATTTAGGATGTTACAAAAATTTTGTTGAGAATCAGATGTCGAATTCTCACTCATATTCAGAATTTTAACTTGTTCACTTTTAGTTAGAGTTTCATTAACAATATACAAAAGATTATCAACATTTAAACATTCATCAATCTTAACTATTCCACATGCATATGAATCATTAAGAACTTTATCATAGTCAGATATTTTTTTTCACAATCATAAGAAGTTGCATCTACCCTTTCTTTCTCATAAGCTAAGAAAGGAAGTAACTTTTTGATGCTGTTATTTGCATATATCAGATGAATGATGCAATTCAGTCAACTTAGCATACAAATGTTTTGCAGAATTATACTAGATATTCCTCTGTTTAACTAACAACATGTTATCAGTCCTAATAGAATCTCTATCTACTGTAACATTCCTTAGTTGAAACTTTAAATTCTCAATAACACTCTTCTTAACTTCCAATTTGTTTCAAACATCATATAGCAATGATTTCGATTGTTCAACTTCTCTACTCATGGAAATCAACATATTATTAAGACAATAAAGAGTATCATCAAAATTTGTTAAAACTACATGATATTTATTTGAAGGAATATTAAGAGATTCAAGATGATTACGTACCTTCGACGTCATTGGAGATTTGTCAGCATCTGTCGAGACAAAGCATCTTCCTGAGATCTTCTCATTATCAGAACCACCTTCTTCGAACTAAGTATACATTGCACCATGCGTAGGATTTCTCATTTCTTCATCAGCAGACCCCGAAGACCAGATCTGATATGTAACATCATCATCATCTTCTCCTTTAGCCATCAAGGAGATTCCTTTGGTTCGAGCCGTTGTCTCCCCAATCTTTCTTGCATAGTATGCTTCGTCCTTCACTCTCTCATTCTTTCTCAGCATACAGTCTTTTGCTAAGTGATTCGACCCATTGCAGTAATTGCAATCATAATCCGAATCACCTTTGAGTAGGGGTGAGCGCGGTGCGGTGCGGTTCGGTGCGGTTATTAGCCAAAACCTCACCACTAACCGCAAATGCGGTTAATCCATTTTCAAAACCGCATGGTGTGGTTATTTTTGCGGTGCGGTTAGGTGGTTATTTTTGTGGTGCGGTTTTGTTTTTTCTGTGTTGCGGTTATTAACCGCATGTATTTGGTGTTGTTATTTTGTGTGGTTTTTAACCACAGTTTAGAGTTCAAATAGTTTTAAGAGTTCAAACATATTACTTGTAATAATAAAAAAACCATAAGGTATAAGACAATTAACTATTTAACTTAAACCACAAACAACTAATATCTTAAAAACGTCAAATCAATAGTAATTAACAATAAATATCTTAAAATTGTCTAATTTCATCATTTTTCAAAATTAAACATAAGAAAAACCAACACTTTTGTCTTGTATTATTTTATCCGTTTTTCATTCATGAAACTTATCTTATTTTTAATATTTAATAAACTAATAATTGATAATAAAAAAAATTATATATAATATATGCGGTGCGGTGCGGTTTTTTTGCGATTTTTGAAAACTAATAACCGCACCGCACCGCAAATTTGCGGTTTTTGAAAAACAAAAAACCTCACCATCGGTTTTTATTGCGGTTGCGGTTTTTCGGTTGCGGTTTATGCGGTTACTTTTAGTTGTGGTGCGGTTTTTGCTCACCCCTACCTTTAAGCTTCATCTGTTTCTTCTCAACCACATTCTCAACTTCCTACTTTTCCACTTTCGACTCGACCTTTACACTTTTTCCTGATGAGGTATTCCCCTCAAACTCATTGTTGTTCTTATATTTCAGATTGAATGGATTTTTGAAGAACTTCTTCACTTTGTTATTCGAATAGTAAGCCACTGCTTCATCTTTAGAGTTAACCAGAAAGCCTTCTTCCTCAAGTTTTTCTTCTTCATCATATTCGACTTCAGAATCCTTGGCAGTCACTTTTGACATCAGTGCCAATGGGCCACCCAATCTCAACTTTCCTTTTTCATCAATTTCATTTATCTCACTTTCATGGGCTTTAGTTTTGATCATTATACAGATCAACCAATGAATAAACATCGAATCTCTCTTGAGTTTTGATCATCAGGCTAATATTTCTACATTCTTTTCTCAATCCCATCAGAAAAGTAAGATTGTACTCTAGAGTCGAACGAGTAACACCATATCGTGTGCATTTGAATATCAATTCGTTAAAACAATCATAATAAGACTCTATTGATTCGTTGTCATTCTGCTTGAACTCAGCCATATCCAACAAACATTGCTTCACAAAGCTTTTGGTTGTCTTTTCCTTGCCTTGATATTTTTCTTTCAATGTTGTCCCAAATCTCCTTTGTTGTCTTACAACTCCGGACGTAGTTGTAAACTACTGGTGGAAGAGCACCACGTAGTTCACAAAGACATTTCCTGTCATTTGCTTCCTGTTTACTCTCTCGCAATGCCACATCAACAGAAGAACCAACAGTTCCAACTTCTTCAAGCATGTCAGGACGATAATTTCCACTTTTGATGCATCTCCAAAGATCTTCGTCTATTCCATCGAGATAATCCTCCATTTTGTCGGCCCATTGCTCGTAGTATTCAGGAATGAGCATTGGAATCTGCGTAGATGATCCAAGCAAGTGCTAGAAACTCGACATCATATTCATGTTAAAGTTCGCCATTGTTGTACAGACAAATGAGATTTTAGATTCAAAAATAGATCTGAAAGGATAATCAAACAGAAATTGACCTGTAATCACTCGATCTAACAAATAGAGTGCAAAATCAAAACAAAACAATCAATTGAATCAAGTTTTCCGATTCAATATTGTGGAAAACTTTGAATCGGAAAGAACGATTCAAAAAATATGAAAAACATGAGAAAACAAAAATTGATTGAATGTATCCTGCTCTGATACCAATTGATGTGAGTTAGATTCGAGTAACAAACACATAATCAATCAAAGAAAGCTATAAGAACACGTCATGTAAATAAGATCCAATTGGCGCATATTTGTCTGTAAAGAGTACAAAGAGTTTGAGAGTGTTTTACAAATTTAAGAGCACAAAAGTTACTCTCGACTCAAGTACCTACCATATTTATAGGACAATACAGACACAACGAAAAATACAATGACTCAACATTCTAGCTTCGAAAACGAAATATGCCTTGTAAATAGATATAGAGTCGAAATCACTTGGATTTCGAACTCTTACATACTCAGTACATTTCGAATCCTATAAAACCTTACATCCAATTTTTGAAAAGTTTGAACTTTTTTTTTTGAAAAAAATGCAAATCACCACCATATTTTTACACTTTTGTCCTTTATTTTTTGGGTTTATTCCACAAAAGCCATTATATTCACAACCTTATTCTGTTTTATCCCCAACTTTATTTTTTGCTCCTCATTTGCTATTATAGTTTAGAAAACATTTTATTTTTGGGCTATTGTCTGTTCATCGACAGGTCATGATGACATGTCAGTTTCATATTTTTCACAGTTTGTATTTAGCCTAACATTTACGTATGACTTTGCATTTAGCTCCAACATTTTCCCCATTTGCCATTATTTTTTAGAAAAAAAAATCCATTTTAGTCATTGGCCAGTCATAAATAGGTATTTTAAAACATAATAGCTTACAATGAAAAAGGAAAAAACAAAGGCAAGAGTCGAAACTGTGATTTCTCCTTGAGAGTAGGGCGTGTCAGCTAGTAAGCGAATGACTCTCTTTTTTGTATTATCAGTGTTTGCTATATTTAATGTACACATGCATTTTAAAATGAAGGAAATAGACCTAGTGTAAGTCTCAAGTCCGAGACATCTAATAAAGGACGTGACATGTTAATCTTTGAGCCAATAAAAATTGTCATTTCTTTGGTTTCTCAATAAATATGTCATTAGAAATATTTGGTTTCTCAACAAACATGTCATTAAAAATAACCAATTGTTTCTTATATGAGTTACAAATGAATTAACAATTTTGATTTGCCTAAAGATTAACATGTCATGATGTTTATTAGATGTCACGGACTGAAGACTTACACTAGGTCTTTTTTCTTCATTTTAAAATACATGTGCACATTAAATACAACAAACACTGATAATACAAAAAAGAGAGTTATTAACTTATTAGCTAACACGCTCCGCCCCCTCTAGGAGAAGTCACCGTTTTGACTCTTTAGAAGTATTTGGTTTCTTAATAAATATATCATTAGAAATAACTAATTGTTTCTTAGATGAGTTACGAATGAGTTAACAATTTTTATTAGCTCAAAGATTAATATGTTATATTGTTTATTAGATGTCACGAACTCATGATTTACAGTAGGTCTTTTCCTCCATTTCAAAATACATGTGTATATTAAATACAACAAACATTGATAATACAAAAAAAAGTCATTACTTAGTAGCTAACACGTCCCATCCTTCAAGGAGAAGTCGCAGTTTCAACTCTTGTCTTCATATTTTCATTTTTTCATTTTAAGTTATTACGTTTTAAAATACTTATTCGTGACCGACCAATGACTAAAATGTATTTTTTTTTCTAAAAAATAACGTCAAAAGGGGAACCAAAAAAAATGTTGGGGCTAAATGCAAACTCATACGTAAATGTTGGGGTTAAATGCAAACACATATGTAAATATTGTGGCTAAATGCAAAGTGTGAAAAATACAAAACCGATACGTCGTAATAAACTGTTGGTGACCGGTCAAAGACCCAAAAATAAAAAGTTTTCTAAAATATAATGACAAATGAGAGACAAACTTGTAAATATAATAGTTTTGGTGAAATAAACCCTTTATTTTTCTTAAAGTTGGTCGATAATGGAAGAAAATTTAAATTGATCATTTCCAATTTCCAACATCTGACCTCCTCCGGTCCTCCCGCCAAAATCAAACGAAAAAGTTGAAGGAGACGGCGATAGAAAACCCTCGAATCCCATTAGTTTATCTAGATTTATCGCACTGACAGAGAGACGATGACAATGATGAGCTCCGGGAAGCAAATATCTAGTAATGGAGGCGAAATCTCACAAAGTTTGGCTAAATATTTCCCTCAAATCGACTATAAACATGCCGATGGGAAGAACAAGATGCAACTCACGAAGACGCTTTACGAACAATTTTTCTCCACTGCTGACGGATTAGACTTCATCTCTCAGGTCATGTCTCCGTTTTTCTCTATGTATATACATATATGCTGAAATGTGAACAAAAACGGGGAAATCTACCATTGATTTGATTTTGGTGATTGAGGAGTGCCTGAGCAAACTTAAACTGACAAGTTTAAGTGTTTATGAGGAGATTAGAAACCTCACAGCAACGTCAATTTAAATCCCATAAACTTCAATGTTCGTGTTAAATTGCAAACCAAAACCAGGGTTAATTTCTGAATAGTTTTTAGGCGTACATGATCTCTGCCATAATTGGAACTTGATAATCAGAATCATAACCAAAATACTGAAATTTCCTGTCCAAAATAATGTAAAGTTGCATCAATTGTACTTAAAACCTCTTAATTGATACTGATACAGTTTACTTGCAACATCTAGGTAAAGAAAGAAGACATCTTGTTCATTTTGCCACTTGATTTCCAACATTTCCGGAAGGTATGTATGCTTGAAGAATTCTACGATGCTTTAGAAAGAAACCCCAAAGAAGCTCTTCTATGCATGAGTGCAGCAGTACACACGGTAAAAACACCATTTTCTAATTTTCTTTCATCTTCTTATGTCATTAATGGATTCTAAACCTAATCACCAACTTCTACTGAAAGCAGACCCTTCACTCCAAATCAAACGATGAAGAGTTGGATGAACATGCAAAGGTAAACATCCGCCTACACAATCACCCTGACTCCATGATTGCTTTAAAGAACCTGAAAGCAGCTTACATTGGTATGTAACATTTTCACAACATTGTTATGCATACACAGATACACTGTAATCTATCTTTTACCTAATTAGTAAAAATCCACCATGATTGTATTACAGAAAGACTTGTTTCTGTTCGTGGCACTGTAGTAAAAGTTAGCACTGTGAAGCCATTAGTGATACAAATGAGTTTCACATGTTCCAAATGTGGGACCACCATTGCACGTGACTTCCCAGATGGGAAATTCTCACCTCCTTCAAGCTGTGGAACACACGGATGCAAAAGCAGAATTTTTAATCCAATTAGGTCTAGTGCAATACCAATAGACTTCCAGAAAATAAGGTAAGATACTTTTCTTACTTTTCAGAATCTTTGTATGTTTTTGTAACTTTTTCTTTACTTTTAGAATTCAAGAGCTGTTGAAATCTGAACATCATGAAGAAGGTCGTGTGCCTAGAACAGTGGAATGTGAATTGGTTGAAGATCTTGTGGACCTGTGTATCCCTGGAGATGTTGTCACTGTGACTGGTATTATAAGGGTGATTAATAATTACATGGATATAGGAGGAGGTAATAATAATAATAATACCCTTTATTTTTCTTTACATGATGTTTTTCTTTCTTATTCTTGATTGTTGGATGAATTAGGAAAATCAAAAGGGAGGAATCAAGGGTTATATTACTTGTATCTAGAAGGAGTATCAGTTAAAAACTCAAAGTCACAATCTGAAGAAACAGAAGCAGTGGCTAAAGCTACAGACTTGTTGGATTTATATTCTTTCAGTCAGAGGGATTTGGAATTTGTTTGTAAATTTTCTTTAGAGCATGGTTCAGATGTGTTTCGTCAAATACTTCAATCAATTTGCCCCTCCATCTATGGACATGAACTTGTTAAAGGTACATAAGGACCAAAATTGCAATAATCAGCTATACTCGGGGACCAAATGTGTAATTTACTCTATTTTGTTTGAACAGCTGGAATTACATTGGCATTGTTTGGAGGTGTAAGAAAGAATTCAATGGATCAGAATAAGGTTCCTGTTAGAGGAGACATTCATGTCATAATTGTTGGTATGAAGTTTTTTAAAATAAATACTCAATATTCTTTTTAAAAAAATTTAAAAACAGTCTAATTTTAGAAATATTAGGTGACCCTGGACTAGGGAAAAGTCAACTCCTGCAAGCAGCAGCTTCAGTTTCACCACGTGGTATTTATGTTTGTGGGAATGCCACAACAAATGCTGGCCTCACTGTTGCTGTGGTCAAAGATTCAATGACTGGTGATTATGCTTTTGAAGCTGGTAAGTTTTTTTTTTCTTAGTAAGTTACAGTTTTGGTCCCTAAGAATAGTTGATTTTTTCATTTTTGGTCCCTGAGTATAACTGATTTTTGCAAATTTGGTCCCAAAAATACAATCATTTAACTTGAAACAAGGACCAAAATTGCAATAGAAAAACTTTTGGGACCAAAAATTGAAAGAATCATCTATACTCAGGGACTAAAAATGTAACTTTCTCTTTTTTCTTTAATGTTTTGCAGATGTTGAACTAATTAAAATCACACATCTAAAGTATTATGGTTTTTTTTTTTTTTTTTTTTCAATAGGTGCAATGGTACTTGCAGACAGGGGATTGTGTTGTATTGATGAATTTGATAAAATGACAGCAGAACACCAAGTAGGTTTATTTATTTATTTATTAATTTCAATATCAACATCAGATACCCAAAAAAAAAAGTTTTATTTATTTATTTTAATATTATAAATTTATAACCACAGGCTTTATTGGAAGCAATGGAGCAACAATGTGTCTCTGTTGCAAAAGCAGGACTTGTAGCAAGTTTATCAGCTCAAACAACTGTTTTAGCAGCAGCAAATCCAGTTGGTGGACATTACAAGTACCCAATATTTTAAATAATTTATTTATTTATTTATTTTTCAAAGTTGATTGCTATTTTTGGTTACAGCCGTGCGAAAACAGTGAACGAGAACTTGAAAATTAATTCCGCTTTGCTGTCACGATTTGATTTGGTCTTCATTTTGCTTGATAAACCCGATGAGTTACATGACAAACGAGTTTCTGAACACATCATGTCTGTAAGTCAACTCAATCGGTCAATCCCTTTATATATATATATATATATATATATATATATATATATATATATATAAACATTATATTCGTTTTTTGTTCTTTCTTGTAGTTGCATGTAGGGAATGGTGATCATTCACAAACTGTGAACAAACTTACAAATGTAGTAGCATCTCAAAGTGTTGGTGAAAAAAGTGGTTCATTAGTCTCGAGACTGAGACTTGATCCGGGAAAAGATATTGATTTTGTTCCATTACCCAGTCCTCTTCTCCGTAAATACATCGCTTATGCAAGAACTTATGTCTTTCCAAGGTATTGTAAGTGGCAGAGTGGTTTTGCTGTCACGATCTACTGAGATTCAGCCCTGTGTCGTTCAGATTCGTTAAGAAACTAAAATACAAACATTTTTTGGTATTCTGGTATCAGGATGTCAAAACCGGCAGCTAAAATTTTACAACAGTTTTATTTAAAACTAAGAGACCGTAACACGTCTGCTGATGGGACGCCGATTACAGCGAGACAGTTGGAAAGTTTAGTACGGTTGGCGCAAGCACGCGCTAGGGTTGAATTGCGAGAAGAAATAACCGTTGAAGATGCTCTGGTTAATTTAAAATTTAAAATTTATATGCAAATCAATAATGTCATGGTTTTTAATTTTATGTTGATAGTATTTGTTTATACATGATGTAGGATGTTGTTGAAATAATGAAGGAGTCATTGTATGATAAGTATGTTGATGAGCATGGGCATGTGGATTTCACTAGGAGTGGTGGGATGAGTCGTCAGAAAGTAACCAAGAGATTTTTGAGTGAATTGAATAAGCAATCGGAGTTGGAACAAAAAGACTGCTTTCATATCTCAGTATGTTTTTTCTTTTTTCTTTTTTTCTTTTTCATCAACTGTTGTTTGGATAAATGACATGTTTTTTTAATTACTTTGTCAGGAAATTAGAAAGATGGGTAAGAAGATTGGGGTAGGAGATTCAGACATTGAGATATTGGTGGAGAATTTAAACACAGCTGGATGTCTGATACTTAAGGGTTCACAAACATATCAGCTGCAATCATCATCTTATTCCCGAAGTCAATTGTCAAGATGACCAAACGTAGTTCTTGTTCTTAATAATCTAAGATAGCTTCTATTATATTATTTTGATTAATAATTCATTTTTGTGAATATTCGTTTAAAATATCTAAGCCTTTTTAACTTAACATAAAAAATAATCAAAAGCCTAACATATATTGTACATACTCTACAAGCAATACATAATAACATATAACATATAACATATAGCCTCAACAACAAACACTTGAGAATGAGATTAAAAAGAATGTCATCCAAAAAGCTTCTTGCTACTTTGTGCCTTGCAGCTGCCAAGTTTCAGCAAACAAAATTAAGTTAGATTCCAATTTTATTTTCTTTATTAAAATTTTGGAAAGATTTTTTGAAATAGAAATCATTGAATTGGGACTTTTTTCAAAGACCATTAATGTATTTTAGTAGACCTGTGAATGTGACTGTGATTATAACTGTAACTGTGAGTTATCTTGATCAGGTTGCAGTTGCACCCCTTCTTTTCTAACAGATCCATCATGTTCACCCTTTAACAGGATTCATACAAATCAATTCAATCATCTTATAACAAAAACAATAATTAATCTATAACTAAAGTTATTATAGATAATAAAAACAAAACCTTACAAAAAGTGTACCTGTGACTGTGATTGTGACTCTGACTGTGAGTTGCCTTGATTAGGCTGCAGTTGCGCCCCTTCTTTTCTAACAGACCGTAAATCATGATCTTTTATAGATCTTAGGTACTTGCCCTTTAACAGGATTCATACAAATCAATTCAATCATCTTATATAATAATCAAATGATAATTAATTGATGTGTGTTGAAAACTTTACTAACCTCAATCTGCCACATCCAATCAGGAATGGAAACAAGTAGAAACATCAACTCATTAAGTCATTAGTAACAAGTGATCACATCATATCATATTCATGAATTAAATACATGAAAGCTAAAAAAACATTACCTGAGTTACTTGTCTGTATTTTTTCAGGTATGCATTAAGTGGATTAACATAATCTTGAAACCCTAGTCTGTTCATTGCCCATATCAGATCATCACCATTAAGGGTTTGCCTCTTGTCCTTTCGACACTTGTCACTCGCCCTAAACATTCCATATAATATATAAACAAGAGAAGAGATATAGTAATGGATATATCATATATGTATATACGTACTCGCTGGTGATAAAGCTGATGAACACAGAAACGCACTCGAGATAAGTCTGTTTAGCATCCTTAGCAATCTTCGCATCAGGGGGTAACACCTTCCCCTTCTTTATCATCCGATGGATATTCGCAATCGGCAAGAACAAGTCCTCATCCAGCCCCAGAACGTTCGATGACGGCGACCGAGGACTCCGATTCCCACCCCCATTCTCGTGGCTCCCGCTCCCGCCGCCTGGACTCGACGGACCTTCTTCCGCCATTCCAGACCCAAAGCCCTAGGCTAAAATACATCTTTCTCATCAAAATCCTTGTATCGAGGTACAAATTACAAGATAAAATTTCGTCGATTTGGAGTGAAATTGTAGACTTACCGATCGAGGGAGAAATTTTCGTAAATTTGGGCGCGAGAAGGTCGTTGTAAGTTGTATCAACAATTCAACATTCAACTGGCTGTACTTGTATATGATATGATGGTGTGTTTCTGCCACTGTTCTGGTTAAGAGGAGTGATCGCATGAGATGTCACCATTTAAGTTTTAACTACTACTATTTTACTTTGTAAAGAGCATTTCCAAATTACTACTATTTTTTTTAATACACAAATCTTAAAATTTAAAAAGTAATTATCTTCATCTTCATCTTCGTGCCTAATAAAAACCTCTTTTAAACGCCACATGTCTATCTTTTATACAAGCCTTCTGCCACGTGTCAATTTTTTGTTCACTCCAATTTTGGTTTCCCGCTCAAACTTTTCTATGTAAAGTTATATCCGATTTTTTGTTTTTGATTACAAAACATCTCATAAAATCAGCAACAAATATTCCACAAATCAAGCTAATAGCAAGAAATCAGGAGCAGAATTTTGAATGAGATCTTATGTTGTCTTTATATACAGAGACGATGTGTGATCTAGGTTTTTTTTACTGCGATTACTCTCTGCTCCTAATCCCTAATCGATCATTTATACACAATCTCGACAGAAAATTGAAAATCAGCGGTACATTATTTCTCCTATGTCTTCTTCCTTGATTTTGTTTAATCGACTGCTTCATCTCTGTATTTTCTTCCTTTGATTTTTTAACGCTTTCAGGAAAATGATACATATATCTAAAACCGATTCAAAACTTACGTGAAACACAATAACCATGAAGCTTATGAGCCACTGTGAAATCAGATATGTATGTCTTTGAGGTTTTGTTTTCATAAATTGTAAAGGGAAAAAGGCTAATAGATCCAACTTTTGTGAAACGGTGCAAAAATGATGTTTCTTGGGGTTTTGCTGTTAGAATTTATATATAAAAATTAGTATTTGTGCTTTTTCGATTGCAGAATAAAATAGTGAAGTAAAGGAGATTGCTTTGAGAGGGAGATACTGACAAGAGAAGACGAGAAACAGGATGAAGCCACAAACTATGTCGTCGCTGCTGGTGCTCAATGGTTTCTTGAAGATATTTGATTTGTTCCTTATAAACCAACAGACAGCCTTCTTAATATATTTTTTTTCTATATATTTATTTCTTTTTATCTTTTGAATTTACTTTTTCATATACTATGTATATTAACTGTTTGATAAAATGTCTCAACGAACAAATACAACTTAAAGTATGTCGGGTAAAAATCCTAGCTTTTTAAATGAATTCACAGCAATTGGTATCAAGCCTCAACTAATGAGGGTGGTACTGATGGTTAGAAATTTGGGGACACATGTGTGACTAAGTCACGGTCTGATTTACAAATGCAGGGTGGCTGCTGGTATTGGAAACTTCCCAATTATTTTGTGAAATGACCTCATAAATATTCATTGGTACCAGACGACTTATTTTGGGGTCGTGGAATGAGCAAGCAACAAGGTTTGCTGAAGTAGTAACAAACTTTCCTCTGATTTTGTTATTTATAACAGTCTACTTATGTTATTAACTAAAAATATGTTTATATTCGTTGCATTTAGATGAAAGTATCTTTGTATTCGTTGCATTTAACACTGATACATATATTCCAAAATCAACATTGCTCAAACAGGTATCAAAATCAGAAAATTTGGTGTTAGATTTTACCATATCTATTTTAATGTTACTGTATCTCAACTTTCATGTGTTGGTTCAGGTCTGTTTCATTATTCTATTCATTTTATTAATATATATATTAATTAATATTCTTTTTTGTATGATTTGTTTTTTTTCTATGAATATATGCAGGATCATCAAGGAATGTCAAATATAGCACCAACTAATACTCTGTTGTGCATCCTGTGCATTACCAAGGGTTAAAGCGGATTTATGGAGGATTCTGAAATTGTTTTAGATTAATGGAGGATTCTGAGAATGTTTCGGAAGCTAGGATTCAAGAATTCATAAATAATCTTCGGATTTTATATCCCCAAAGGCTCTTTTCCAAGTAATAATATAAACTTCTTTGTCACCTTTTCACTTTATGTATAAGTTTTGAGCGTTTTTTTTTATCTATTTGGATGTTTGGTTGACATGTAGCAGTGGAATAACTTCTCATATAGTGTACTATAGCATCCTACTTTCTAAATATACTCACTTAAAGCAGTGAAAACGCATTGTAAATTGGATGAAACTTCTTTAAATGGGTTTATTTTTCAGCCACAATGTTGATCAAAAAGAAAGTAGAATGCTATAATTTCGATAAAATTTTCAAAGTACATTGTCTTAATAAGAATACTGCCACTACTTTGATCTACCAATTATTTTTAGGACTTGTAAAAACCGGTTGAGAATAAAAATTAATTGACGGAGATGTTGGATTTTTGTTTTTCTTTATCAATTTCTTCTTACAGTGTTTGTTCCAGAAGTTTTCTATTGAATTATCGGATTGTCCACGTAGAAACTCAACAATTTCTGCCCATCTGCAAATACAAAAAATGAATCACTATTTAAATCCATAATAATTAAAAACTTCAAATATGTTGAATAATTTTGTCCTAACATTATTCCTTGAAAAAGCTACGTATATTTAATTTTAGTTTTTTACAAATGAAGCTGTGACTTTGAGCCAAATTAACTAAATTCATGTCACAAATTTGCTTTGTTATACGGTTAAACTGATCTGTAGATAGACGTAGACATCCTGGAGTTCTTGGTGAGCAAGAGAAAGTATTTACCAAACCTATTCAAGAAAAACTTTTTATCCTTATTGTTTTTGTTCATGTTTTCTGTAAAAACAATCATTGATCAGGTTTTGGTGTGTCTTTTTGATTTGTGTTGGAGGTATTCATATTTGATTTTAAGTTTAATGATTGACTTTGAATTTTGTTGCAGTCTTTGAAAAAATAATGTTTGACATAGAAAACATGATAAAAATAGTGGAAGCCCATGTGAATACATTTGATTTTGTCGTGAATACATTTGTAAAATATCTTGCATTATAGATGCTAAAAATGTGTTCAATATCATATTTTATATAAAAATGTGGTCAATGACATGTTTTATACTAAAGTCAAAATGAGAAGTAATATTTATCAAGATTAAATACTTAATCAATTAAAGTCAAAGTTGAGACCTAAGAGATATAACCCTATTCTAATAAGTTTTTTTTTATAATATTTTAATAATCAAAATTATTAACATAAAATATAAAATGTAAAACATAATTATTGTATATAAAGTCATGTTTTACATGTTTTAAATATTTTTTTTATTATGCATAAGAACTAAGATCTTTTAAAAAAAGGTTTTTATATGATTTTGACTTTTTTTGTTTTAAATACCAAAAATAAAATGTCAAAATGCATAAGAAATGAAATTGCAATATTGTTTTCTTCTTTTAAATTAATAGAATTTTTCAAACTAAAATTGAAGTACAATGTTATTAACTAAATTATGGGTATTTATGGTTAAGGGTGTGTTTCAGATTCATTTTTTTTAACTTAAAAGTCCTTTTGTAAAAAAGATTTTTTTTTAAAAGAACTTTTTCTAAAATGATGTCTTTAAAATGTATTTGGTTTGATTTTAAGAGATAAAAACCAAAAGTCACAAAAAGATTAGATTTTATGACTTTTAAAAGACTTTTTTTTTGTTAATGGTAAAAAGTTGATTTAAAAGAATTTTTCTATTTTCCCAACATCTTTTGGATTTTTTTAACTTTTTGGAAAAGTTAAAAGTCCAAAAGTTGTTTTAAAAGGAAAGCCAAACACCCTCTAAGACTTTTTTTTAATGCCTATGTTATTTAATATTATCTCGTGTGTACATGGGTTATAACCTAGTATTTTTATAAGTACATTACACTCGTCCCTTGGAACTTTGGATAGTCTTTGTTTGTCCTTAATTATTTTTTTTAACTAGATCCTCCTTAATATTCTTAGTTGCTAGTTTAGTTAAACTCATGGATATCAAATTGAAACACCACTCTTTAAATATACTTGATTAAAATAGTTTTCAAAATGTTTTAGTTAAATTCAAAACAACGTTTGTGGAAATATGGTCTCATAATCATTGTTCACAAAAGATTAATAGTTTGGAAGTACTTTAAAAAGGGTTATTCAATCATAATATCAAAATAATATTTCACGCAATCACACAACATCACACAACAACGTGACCTTCTAAATGCCCAAGACATCTTTTAAGTCTTCATTCAATACTATCACCTTAATATATGTCAAAATATAGGTTAGACATTAGGAATGTCTAGTGAATAATATCACGATTTCACACCTTTAGAGCCTAAGTAATTGACACATTCCTTTGATCAACGAGAAATCTTAAAAAATCACTTGTAAAACTTTTGATGATAGTTAAGTAATGTCTTTTCCTTCATTTAGTCAAAATCCAAGTATCCAAGTCATAAAAAGAATGTATGCAATATAATATGCTTCTAATCCTTTCCCAAATCAATCTCATATGTCCCACTCTCACAAGTCATATAGTTATAAAGTGAGAAGTGTCTCACAAAGTCATTGAATATGTGCAATATAATATGCTTCTAATCCTTTCCCAAATCAATCTCATATGTCCCACTCTCACAAGTCATAAAGTTATAAAGTGAGAAGTGTCTCACAAAGTCATTGTGGGAGAGTATCCAAGCAAGGAAGACATGTATCAAAATAATGTAAAGAATCCTAAATTCATCGTGGCAGAGTATCGGATCAAGGAATACATGTATGCTAAACAATGCAAACAACCCCAAACTCATAGCTATGATAATGTGCCCACTTATATAATCCACATACAAGGTAGCTAGCCTTGCATGCGAGTGAGACACTCTCTAAAGTATTGTCACATAGTCACTAGAAAACAAGAAAGGTATTAAGCATATAAAAACTCAAAAATCATTAGTCATTAGACGTCATCAAAGTTGTTTTCCATGGATTTTAGGATTGGATAAGACTAAATCAATCCTATCCTAACATGAATGCACAAACTTATAAGGAAAAGTCATTTGTAAATTATTCAAGTCATTATAGTTTTAAGCATAGTCTTGGAAAATGTCATTTCATGATTGCAAATATAGATACATATTGTTTCACATAGCAAGAAAGGTATTAAACATTTAGG